CAATGCTTCTAGCTAAACAATTGGCCGCCAGAACTGTCAGGAAGCACTCTCTTAAAATTTCAGCTTTCTAGCTTTCCTGGCTCCTGAGTTAGCAAACTACTCCAAAAAAAAACTTCTCAGACTTGTACGTGGGTACCACGTATACCCGATGTCTGGGTTGGAGCTCGTTGAGATTTACGTGGATGGGGAATATTCTCTTAAAATTACAGTCTTCTAGCTTTTCAGGTTCTCAAGTTAGCAACTTACTCGAGAAAAACTTTGGCAGGCTCGAAATTGGATACCACGCACGCCCGAGAGCTGGGTCTGAACTCATTAATACCTACTTGGACGGGGAACATTCCCTCAAAATCTCAACCTTCTAGCTTTTCAGGTTCCCGAGTTAACAACTTGTCCGAAAAAAATTTTGGCGGGCCTGTACGTGGGTACCACGCGGGCAAGAGCGCCCATTTCGGAGACAGGGCCCGTAAATGCATGTAAATTAAGTTCCCCAAGTTTCAGCTCCGTAGCTTTTGTGGGTTTCGAGATGAAAAATCGGTACAGACGTGCAGCGCACACACAGACACACACAGACAATCTCTCGTTAATATCGTTTTCTGCATTGCATAGCTGCAAAAAACGCATAAAAACATCTCCCCGCACACCTCTTAATTGCTGTTTCTTTCCTGTCCCGGCGATTTTCATTGAAGTTATTACCGCACTAAGTCTAAGCTGATTGTAGCATACAAGTAGATGTTAGGAGCTTAGGAACCCCCATAGGCGTGAGGTGAACTAAGTATGAATGAATATGAAAGCAGTGAGTTAAGACATTTCGGTCCATTAAGTCATAATTTCTCCAGAAGGCCTAATATCCCACATATTACGTATTTAGAACCGTCTTTTTTTCTCTGTGATCAGAAAAATAATTACTGTAGGGCGCAGCACAGGTCTGAAACTGATTCCAGAACCATATATAAAAACAATTCATTAGGGTTCTACTGCGGATGTCCCCAAAAAAAACGGC